GAGTAGCCCAAGAGTTGGCGGTGGGTGGTGATGACTAGCTACCTTCCCTCTAGTCTTACACTGCTAAATCGGGGACGGCTAGTGCAGATAGCCCTCGTGTAGCTTTGCGCGAAATTCAAAAACAAAACCAAACTTTATACAAAATTACTGATGAGTACTATAAAGAAGCTGATGATGGTTTGGTTTGTCTCCTCGAGTAATTCAAATTTATCCATTCGATATAGCAAAAATAAAACCGTACATGGCCACCATTTCCCTTGTACTTATTTTCATATAAGTAAACACCATCTAAATATATACAAAATATTGAAATAAAAACAACAACAAAAAAGTCTAGTTGATGTTGACTTTTCCTGTAGTCAAGGTCACCCACAGCAAGGTCCTTGGATAACTACAATTCCGACCCAGTTTTTCCAAGTAAAACGACGAAAGCGGTCGGATTTCTTATCAAACTAGTATTAGCATAGCAGGTGGCTAAAGCGATCGATTCATAATCTACAGGTCACGGGATAGAAACCTGTCACCTGTGGGGGCATTATAACGTTATAGCCAGTCCCAATATTCGTTTGTAAAGAGTGGCCTAAGAGTTGGCGGTAGATATTGTTTTCTCTCTAGCCTTTCACATCAAGGTTATGAACGGCTAGTACAAGTAGGCCTCGAATAGCTTTGCGCAAAATTCTACTGAAAAAAAAAAAAATGATTGTTTGTCTGTTTTTGAATTTCGCGCAAAGCTACACGAGGGCTATCTGCGCTAGCCGTCCCTAAATTAGCAGTGTAAGACTAGAGGGAAGGCAGCTAGTCATCACCACCCACCGCCAACTCTTGGGCTACTCTTTTTACCAACGAATAGTGGGATTGAGCGTCACATTATAACGTCCCCACGGCTGAAAGGGCGAGCATGTTTGGTGTGATGGGGATTCGAACCCGCGACCCTCAGATTACGAGTCGAGCGCCCTAACCACCTGGCCATGTCGGGCCTCTACAAACAAACAACCTTATCAACCATTACAAAAGACACATTTGAATATGTTATAAATTTCATAAAAAAAACTTGCAATAACAGAGGAAGAAATATGTGGCTATTTCATTATAACTAATTATTACAACTATTAAAGTAAGAACTCCAGTATCAACACTTTTTAATTCCAGTTTTTCGCAGTTTCAAGGACTAAGAAATTTCGGTTCTTCGAGTGAGGGCCTAATTGAGTATCGAGTAAAAACCTGTTTATCTTGACGTGAAAATTCTTTTTTCTAAAACGCTTTCTTTTGTCTGTTTAAAATTATTGATTGAACGGTATTGAGTGTACACGATGTTTTCTAATTCAAAACAAGTGTGTTTGTAAATTTTTCATAAACAGACAGAACTTGTTTGTTTTAGAATTTTGCGCAAAGCTACACGAGGGCTATCTGCGCTAGTCGTCCCTAATTTAGCAGTGTAAGCTAGTCATCACCACCCACCACCAACTCTTGGGCTACTCTTTTACCAACGAATAGTGGGATTGATCGTCACATCATAACGTCCCCACGGCTGAAAGGGCGAGCACGTTTGATGTGACGGGGATTCGAACCAGCGACCCTCAGGTTGTGAGCCGAGCGCCCTAACCACCTGGCCATGCCGGATCCAGACAGAACTACATGATAAATAAAATCACCTTCCCAAATGGTCAGAGTTAGGACTTAACTGTATTTGAAGTGAAACTCAATAAAATCAAGTTTGCTTATCGGCCAGACGATCTGCATCTGTCCAGAGATTACAGAAACGTTTCTCAAACCTGCTTACTGGTTGTGTAGGGTTATAGTAGTTGTGCGTGTTTATTAAAAGTCGCCTGACTAGGTAGAGTAAGTGCCAACTTCTATGGCTAGATGTGTATGTTTTTATATTCTCAATAACTAAAATTGATAAATGTTTTCGCTGTTGTTTTATCTGACGTTTATGCATATTTTGAAAGTTATTGTACAGTTTCTGAAATACTGTAATAATTAAATATTTTTCAGAAAATTTTCCGTTTTTTTATTTTCATTGTCCAGGTTTTTGTGCTGCATAATGTTTACCGGAGTTTTAAGTTGAACGCTACTGAATTTTTGTAAAGTTACAGAAGTCTTAAAGGTCTTAATTATTATTCAGGCAATATTTGTAAGCCTAATAGTAGTATATTTTGGGCTTAGGATTTTGATAGTCGTCCTATCTTAAAGGAAATATCAAGTTCACTAATACCAATTTGTATAAACATTTTATCTCATAATGCATAAAAATTATGGAACGCAGTTTAACGTTTACTATTTTTGTTTAGATAAATTTAATACTTATGTTTTGAAATATGACCTATTTTGAAGAGGAACAAACTCGACACGGAACACAGGTTTAAGATATACCTTTATGCTAAGTATATGCAGTAAACTTATTGATTTTGTTATGTTACATTCTATAAGAGATTTTAAAAGTTTTTCACGATGTTTTTAATAAATTTGTCCACTGAAAGAAAGCATCTCTGTTATTATACGATTTGAAGTAACAGTATCTAAAGGCAACTTACAATAGTTTTATACAATTTGTGTGCACTTTGAATGAGAGTTACATCAACGGGGAAGTGACACGTAATGGGTATTAGAATACACTGCCTTTAATTAAACGGCGTCTATGTGTTAAGAAGTGTTTGATGCTACAAATACAGTTTAGTGTACATCGCGCAAGCAACAACAATTTGTGTTATGTTGGTAAATTACATATGAAATTTAGGGTTCGAAAAAACCAGTTAAAATTTATCTTTTTACTCTGTCATGATAATTCTCGTGTAAAAGAAAACGTTTTGCCTGTCATAAACAAATCAGCGCCGATGTAGATCTTATTACCGATTTTTTTTTTTCCGGATATTCACACGAGGCTACTCTGTATTAGCTGTTACTAATTTTAACTGATTGATTGGGGGAAGGCAGCTAGCCAACGGCACCCACCGTCAACTCATGGGTTACAGTTACCTGACTCAGTAATGGGAACTGATCGCCACTCTTATGACTCATCCACATACCTCTAAAGTGTGGAGTGTGATTACATTTTTTAAGGTAACCGAACGCGAATGAAGACTAGCTGATCTATTATAGTCCGCGCGCTAACCACTGAGCCACTTTCGGACTTACTGTAGGAAGAAAAGGAATCGTGGAATCAGCTCATGATCTGTGGCAATATTTTAGCCACCAGGTGGCTTGGTGATTAGCTTGAGAACTTATTTACGGGGTTCGACGATACCCGAGAAGAGCAAAGCGCAGGAAGTCCTTTGTTTAGATATTGGGCTTAAGAAACAAACAAATTATTTAATTTAAATCCTGTTGGTTCAGCGCGTCTAATTAGGCTGAAGTAACCCATTGTATAGATATTGGGCTTAAGAAACAAACAAATTATCTAATTTAAATCCTATTGGTTCAGCGCGTCAAGTAGGCTGAAGTAACCCATTGTATAGATATTGGGCTTAAGAAACAAATAAATTATTTAATTTAAATCCTGTTGGTTCAGCGCGTCAAGTAGGCTGAAGTAACCCATTGTATAGATATTGGGCTTAAGAAACAAATAAATTATTTAATTTAAATCCTGTTGGTTCAGCGCGTCTAATAGGCTGAAGTAACCCATTTTAATAACTGTTTCATATATCTTAACTCTTATAGGTTTAGCGCATGGAACAAATTATTTGCGAATTTGGATTGGGTAATTTTAAAACGTCAAAAAACTCGTCTGCAGGATTTTATGTGACTAAATGATAGCTCAGTCTGATAAATATTGGTTTACCGATAACCCATTTGCGAGTAATCATCATTGACTTGATGAGTAATTAGTCTTTTATAGAAATAGCTGTTAATGATTTCACAATAAATAATATGTTAATATAAAATATTGGAAACGTTACGATAAGTATTAAAATTGGAATGTGATTTCATGTATTGATTCGTGTTTTGAAAGACTTTTTTTTTGGCTTCTTATTTTATTAATACAAACTTTTGGGTTATCATTTAAACCAACGTACTTATTGCTATGGTTGACCTTGTGATAGTTTTCAAAAACACATCGGCATTAAAAAAGCGCGTATTCGGTAACCGATTTTAAAACCATTAAAATTCTTAAAACAATATGTTAATTTTTAATGCCAGCAGACGGGTCAGAATATAGTTACTCTAAGTAATTCCTTTTAAAGTTTTGCGACGACCTTTTTTTTTTCGAAATAAATTAAATTAATTATTTCAGTTCGGTCTGTCTCTTTTACTTGCGCTTCGCAATTAAAAACGTTTCAAAATTCTTCCCTCACCAATCCGACAATTCTTGGATGTTGACGTAAATGGTGAAAGTTAATCTTATATGAAATTATGTAGCTTTCCGCGTAAATAAAGCATAATTAGGCTATTCTTTACACGTTATGCACTCGAACCGTGAAATTTGATTACGCTATCCCTCCCTAATTTATCAGGTAAGACTAGAGGGAAAGTCAGCTAGTCATCACCACCCACCGCCAACTTTTGGGCTACTCTTTTACCAACGAATAGCGGGATTGACCGTCACATTATAACGCCCCCACGGCTGAAAGGGCGAGCATGTTTCGTGTGACTGGGATTCGAACCCGCGATCCACCTGGCCATGCCGGCCCTACGTTTTCTTATTCCATTTCTTGGGGGCAAAAAAAAAATGTTTAGTATTTATTATCTTTCTTTCCAGTCTGTTAAGTACTGTGATTTTTTTAAGGTATATTTTTACTTATGCTTTCATACTCACAATTTATGGTTTATTTGACCTTTATTGAATTATTTTATGTTCGATAGTAATATTGCATGTATGTATAAAACGAGACTATTTAGTCGTTAAATATTAAAAACCAATAATGCTCTCGATTTTTTAAAAGTTCGGACAACGTTTTGTAGTTCGTAGCCTTTCTTCATTCGTATGATCATGTTTTATAGATACTTAAATCATAGTATAAAGTTAATTTATGTTTGTTTTTATTTATTCATTTTTCTCTCAGAGGTGACGGTTCTTCTCTTGAACTCAAACAAATTCAAACGCTGACTTCCTTTGCTTGTTGGAATTCTGATTGTGGGTTGGCCACGGAAGCTACAGACTCACAGTGATACCGAATGTGGTTCTAGCCGTGATTGGGTGCCGCAGGTCAAACAGGACAGGTATTCAAGGTGTGTGTATGTATTGACAAAACCTATTAGAATCGGGTAGTGCAAGTTGTGTGCCTGGCAGCGATGTTCCCACTCTGTCTGTGGAAGTGTTAACAGTGAGGCTAAGCCGAAGTTGACACCCAAAGCCAACTGTGGTGTGTGCGTTAACACTTCCGTATCTAGAAGTTTCTTAAATTCCGTTAGACAGCTTTTGTAAAACGTTACGTGTTGCTATTGACCATGGCCTTTCGTGTCATTAAGAGGAAAGACGTAAAAAAACAGTCGTATTACGTGTGGTTCCTGGGAGCTAAGGAGAGTAAGGGGTTAAGGGGCGAGGAATATATTCGACCCGTTCTTAATTACTTTCTAGACAAAGAGCGAGAGCTGGAGCCTATGAAAGTGACCCTTCAAGTCAGCAACAAAGGGATAAAGATTATACAAAACGTTCCGAGAAAAAACAACAGGGGTAAGACAGAACAGATCAAGCATTTCATTCCTCATCATGCCATCACGTGTGTTGTCCAGGAACAGAAGCCGGACGACGACATCGTGTGTGCTATCCTGCTGTTGTATAATCCAGTAACCGAGTGTCCAGTTCACATTCACGCTTATCGATGCGATAGTGTGGAAACGGCCACCAACCTCAGAAGTCAACTGCAGATTCTCATAGACCGTCCAGAAAACCAAAAGAAGTTCCAAGAAATTGAGAACCGACTAGCGGTCAAAGGGCTTTTGCCTTCTCGTAAACTGAACTCTGATGGTCGCAGTACACATACAGATTTGTCAGACCCCCTGGAGGACTCTTTTGGATCTGACACCGAGTTTCCTGTACGCAAAGAACACGTTACAAATCTGTATGATTCGCTAGCTGCTGAGCTACGTGAACGACTGAACAATCAAAGTGATTGTCCGATTTTGTTGCCTCCCAAGGACTACGATGCAGACTTCAAGCGTCAGAGTAAAATTGGGTGTATCGAGCAAAAGAAAAATTCACCAACTTCTATTGTTGGGATGCAAAGACGTCCTCAAGTTAGTAATGGAAGACCTACCAGAGCAAAGGAATCAAGCTCTAGTGGCAAATCTAGCGGAATTGGTTCTGACGAAGCCCTGAGCTCCGCAATTCAGGAAGTGGCGTCACATCCGGAATTCGAAAACAAAGAGATTGATCCAGACACCAGCTCAGATGAAGAAGACTGGCCAGAACCAGAGCCACTTGTTGAAAATGAAGTGGTACGCCAAAACTGGAGACGAGATATTCTTCCTGGACCACCCCGCTCGCCATCCTCCGCCATTCATGCCCCTCGGCCAGTCCTTCCAGTTTATTCTGACCTCAAACTGTTACCTGTAGACGATGATGAGAGTATTAATAGGCTTAAAGGATTTAAGAGTGATCAAGAAAAAGTCAAGGAGCCTATTCATGGAGGCTGGAAAGAGTATAGAGATAATCCTTTGCCTTTTTCATATCATTTGCCGCAAGTAACCGACTTAAAGAACCGATTTAATAAACAAGCTTTACCGGATGACCTTGACATTTATAAAGTGAGAAGTTCTTCAAAAGATGATAATGAAAGAATCGCGATGCATAGGAAGAAAAGAACCACAGAAGTGCTTTCTCCCGGAGTTAGAAATTATCGTTCTTCATCACAGTCAAACATACGGTCCCTGAATAGAGATGGAACTCCTTCTCCTCCACTGGCTAGATATGCTCCTCTAGAGGTGGCAAGACAACGTCATCAACCAGACATAGAGAGGGATCGTCTGTATATGTACGAAAGTCGCTTAGCTAGGTATTCCTTGGATCATGCAGATGAAATAACGAATCAATTAGAGGAGCACAACAGACGAATAGAGAGATTCAATTACCCGCGCCAAAGTCATTCTGCTGACCCTAGAACAGCCATTCCTGACAGCTACCCGTGCAGAAGGTCCCAGTCTCCCGAACCATATCCAGGACGACCTGCAAGACGACCCGTGGAACGATACATCGATAAACGTCGTTCGCAGCCGGACTACCTTCTGGATGAACGAAGGAGATCCGGATATTTTGATCTCCCAGCTGATACCAGGGATTATAGACACAGTTTCACAGAGCCAAACCATCGTCGCTTGCCCATAAACTCCAATTTCTAAAATTAACCTAAAGCTGAATATTCCATACCGTGTTACTACGAGCTAAGACGATTGGTGTGCCACAGATATAATGTTGCCATAGTAACCCCCGTTGCTATAGGAATGTAAATAATCTAATCCAACCGTTCTCTTGGGACCAAGCGATTTTCTTTTAATTGTTGTTATCATATTTTAATTTAACAGAATCTTGGAGCTTAAACTGTTCGTTTAATTTGCAAGTGTAACGAGAGGTGATGAGAATAGAAAAAAAATCAATAACGTAAATGTGTATTGAAATTATTGCAGATGAAGTACGTTTTATAGCGTCATCGTGTACAAAAGTTAGTACCGGATAAGGAAGATTTAAAAAGTTGGACCTGTACTTTAGTATTTCGTGTATTTTCACTTGTACAATACTGTTCGTATATGTTGAGCACTGTTTTGTTTCCTATTACATTCCAGCAGCCCCCTAACGGGATTCGTTAAATTTGTTATTTTAAAATCGCAAGGTTGAGGGCGCTGTTTTATGGTATTAGGAATTAGAAAGTTTTACACAGGTAACGATAATAAAAATTGTAATTAAGGTGAAGAGAAGCTGGTAGCGGAGCTTTAATCTTAACAGTTTTCGTGTTAAGAACAGTACTAGTTATTGATGACATCAATATTTAATTTCGTAATTTTTCTTAAACGTTAATATTCTTTTTGACAGTCTGGTTTATCAACTATAACAAACTTTATTCTAACATAAAATAGAAACGTCATTATCAGCACATATTTCTCATACACTTGAGTCTTGTTTATTGACTAGGTTGCGTCAGGTGTACTAAAAGATAGTGTAACAATACAACAACCCCATCGCTGTACGTGTCCTACTTCGGAAGGGGTCTTCTGTACCATTCGTGTATGTTACGAACGGTTCAGCGAAATGACTCAGCTGTTTGAGATTGTTCCGTTGCGGTGACACCGAAACTTTAGAGCTAATTTGGTGTTCATGAAAAGAAATCTAGTTTCATCATACTAAGTACATGACAGACGTTGGTAACATACGGTGTTAATGTTGACTAAATACATGACAGACGTTGGAAACATTCAGTGTTGATGTTGACTAAGTACATGATAGACGTTGGTAACATACGGTGTTGATGTTGACTAAGTACATGATAGACGTTGATAACATACGGTGTTAATGTTGACTAAATACAATACAGACGTTGGTAACATACGGTGTTGATGTTGACTATATACATGATAGACGTTGGTAACATACGGTGTTAATGTTGACTAAATACAAGACAGACGTTGGTAACATACGGTGTTAATATTGACTAAATACATGACAGACGTTGGAAACATTCGGTGTTGATGTTGACTAAGTACATGACAGACGTTGGTAACATACGGTGTTAATGTTGACTATATACATGGCAGACGTTGGAAACATTCGGTGTTGATGTTGACTAAGTACATGATATATGTTGGTAACATACGGTGTTGATATTGACTAAATACATGACAGACGTTGGTAACATACGGTGTTGATGTTGACTATATACATGACAGACGTTGGTAACATACGGTGTTGATGTTGACTAAGTACATGATAGACGTTGGTAACATACGGTGTTAATGTTGACTAAATACAAGACAGACGTTGGTAACATACGGTGTTGATGTTGACT